CGTTTAAAGCCAGTCGGGGCTGGTTCGAAAATTTTAAAAAGAGGACCTGCATTCACTCCTTTGTCAGACATGGTGAGGCAGCGAGCGCGGATATAAAGGAAGGTGACATCAACGAGCTCATCCAGGAGCACTCGGAGGAACTGACAACGCAGGAGCTAAAGGAGCTACAGACGCAGCAGCACACGGAGGTTTTGCAGGAAATAGATGGCACGGAGGAGGAGGAGGAGGAGGTTATCTCTGTAAGTGAGATAAAGGAAATCTTGGGAATGTGGGAGAAACTTTCAGACTTTATTCAAAAGAAACACCCAGAAAAAATTGCAACTGGGCGTGCGATGGAGCTATTTAATGACACTTGCCTAACTCATTTCAGAAATATTCTGAAAGGGAGGATGAAACAGATCTCATTGGACAGGTTTTTATCGAAAACTCCTGTAGATGAAAGTGATGAAAGCGTGGCGAAAAGGGCAAAAATCAGCAAATAAGATTCAGTTATTCAGTTCAGCCTTTCTCCTCCAACTCCATCAGCATCTTTTAGTCGTTTGATCTCCAAGGTAAATGCTGTACAATAAACTTAATAAAACAATTTTATTGCACTACATTCTATTGTTCAGTATTGTGTTTTTATACAATATTCGTTATTTTTAAATACATTTTTCTTATTTAAAAACATTTAACAAAACAATTGTGGTGTTTTTCGGGTGTCCGGAACGGATTAATGGCATTTCAATTCATTGTAATGGTGAAAATTGATTTGACATATGAGTAATTTGAGTTACAAGCTCCGTCACGGAACGAATTAAACTCGTAAGTCAAGGCCCCACTGTATTTCCTACCTTTCTCAATCTGACTAGGCCTAGAGTCTCATGCTTTCCATAAAATTTCCCTGACAGCTCTATGCATCTTTGTATCTGAACACTTGTTTTTTTGTGATTGTTACACATATCCTTTATTTTTTCATTACTATATTATCTGTTAATATATTTACTTATGTTCATCATCTATTATTATCTTCAACCTCAAATGTATAGTTATTTTTACAGAACATGGCCTTGTGATTTTGTAATCTTGATCATTTTACCTATTGATAAGAAATATGGGTTTTAGTAAATTAAAATGTAATGCAATCTTTTCAGACAATCATCATCAGACCATTAGGGTATTAAATAGGATATTCTGAATTTCTCTTATTTTGGTCTTCTCACTAGTTTTTTTTTTCTTTTCTTATTTAAAAAAATATATAAATACCTACATATTTCTCTGACATTCATCTACTCATTTATTAATTAATTAATGAACACTGAAAGTACTTATTATGCATTGACCATAGGCCAGCCTCTGTATGAAATTTTGACAGTTCTGCAGTGATTACACCGTAGTTTCTATCCTTGTAAAGATACAAATCTGCTGTCTGTTACCATAGCATGGTTCTCAACCTTCTGGCCCTTTAAATACAGTTCCTCATGTTGTGACCCAACCATAAAATTATTTTTGTTGCTACTTCATAATTGTAATGTTGCTACTGTTATGAATCGTAATGTAAATATCTGATATGCAGGATGGTCTTAGGCAACCCCTGTGAAAGGGTCATTCGACCGCCAAAGGGGTCGCGACCCACAGGTTGGCATAGAGAATATTTTTGGGGGCCAAATTAGTCTTCCTAGAAAAAATGACTTTTAATTTGATATTTGATATAAAAGTTAAATAGGCCAAGAATGGGTTGGAGGAAGAGGGTTCAGGACAGGGAGCCTTCTAAGCAGCAGGAAGAATGTGTACACAGTCTCTAAGGCAAGGAAGAGTAATATGTAGTCTCAATTAAAATTAATTTGTCTAATGAAAGGATACATTTTTAACTTACAAAGAAACTGCTAATAAAAATAGGGTTATTATTTATTACACTAAAACATCCAAATATTTAAAGTATTTTCACCATGTCACTAGTGTGGCTTTTTAAATACTTCATTTTCAAGAGGAGCATGTTATTACATTTTTGGCTCTGGATTTGTTGTAGACACCATCCCAGAGAGCCCAAAATATCCTGTAACTCTTGTAGGAATTTGAAATGAGGACATTCAGGAGGATTCATGTGGAGCTTTTCTCTAGGAGTGGGGTATCAGAATTTGGGTCGGAGGCACAGAATTTAAACACTGATCTCTGTCACTTTTCCAAGTGCAGGGACTTTACAAAGTATTTTACAATATCTTATGGCTCTGAAAATTATGATAAGTTCAGTGTTTTTATTTATTTAAATAAATTATGTATAAGATTATGAACAATCTGAATTTATGTTAATATTGATTTTTCTTTATTAGGAACCTCCAAAGAACATTGAAGAATTCTTAAGGCTCCACAAGTTGGTGAGTAGAGCATCCCGTTTTATGTGCCAGTACATCTTTTAAAATATCAGTTCTGGAGATGGAAAAAGCCTAGGAAAAAACTTTAATAATAGAAATTTGTATGGGTTCCATTTTCTTTTTGTTCTTTATTGAATTTATTGGGGTGACATTGGTTAATAAAATTATATGTTTCAGGTGCACAATTCTATAATACATCATCTGTACATTGTATTCTGTGTACACCACCCAAAGTCAAATCTCCTTCCATGACCATTTATTGCCCATTTACTCTTTCTACCTCCTCCCCATTCTCCTTTCCCTCTGATAATTACCATAATGTTGTCTGTGTGTATGAGGTTTCTTGGTTTGTTTGTTTAATCCCTTCACCTTTTTAACCCAGCCCTCCAACCCCCTTCCCTCTAATAGCTGTCAATCTGTTTTCTATATCTATGAGTCTGTTTCTATTTTGTTTGTTCATTAGATTTTACATATAAGTGGTATCATGTGATATTTGTCTTTCTCTGACTGGCTTATTTTATTTAGCATAATACTCTTCAGGTCCATCCATGCTGTTGCAGAAGGTAAGATTTTCTTCTTTTTTATGGCTGAGTAGTATTCCATTGTGTAAATGTACCACAGCTTATCTATGCACTCATCTACTAATGGGCGCTTGTGCTGCTTCTAAATCTTGGCTATTGTAAACAACACTGCAATGAATATGGAAAATACATTTTATTGTAAGAAATTTTTATAAATATTTACCTTCTTTCAGTAAGCTCTATCTCATAGCTGTTCCCTCTTGTCAATATTCTATTCTCTTTTCCACTTTTAAAAATTCCAGTCCAATGTCCTATCAGAAGAATTATATAGACATTTCTATATTATTTTGCTAATATAAGATTTTTGTCTTATATATTTACACCTTGAAGAATATCTGACAGTTTTGCTTACTTACATCATTTACATTCACCACAGCTGAGACAGGTATTGCAGTGGTGTTACATCAGTGTTCTTTGATGTTGAATCAGGGTAAAATATTTAAAATGTGTTTTTATATTGAAAGCTCCAGTTTCCATTATGTGTAACTATTGATTTCTGGAGTTATTGGGATTGTATGGGTTTTCTCTTGGGTTCATGCAGTTGTGAATATGAAGGTCAGGTTTTTTTTTGTGTTGAGGGGTGTCAAAGGCTAGGAAAATGATGTTAATGTGGAAGGCAAAGATGCTTTTTTAATGAGGTGTGTACATATTTTGAGTAGGTTAGAGTTTAATTTGCACTCATTTATGCTTAAATGTAAACAGAATTTGCTGTGACTAAACTGTTAACGAGTTTCAAAAATATCTATTTTCTGTTCTTATATTTGTTTAAATAAGTATTGTTTTCTTAATGTTTTAAAAAAGGATTAAATTCCCTTTAGGAGTGAAATGAAAATGTTCTTAATTTACAAAAGTTTGTTTCAATCACTGTGGCAAAGCAGAAATTTTGAAATACTTTTAGGACAAGCTTTTTGCAACTATTTTAATTTAAATAATGATGGAAATGTGTTGTAGCTTAATCACGATGCTCTGGGTCTTTTTTAATGTCAAGGGAAAGGGGTTACAGTTAAAATTAAGCCAAACTCAGCAAATAATTATGGAGACATTTGGACCATACCATCATGCATGTTTGAGAACCTATGATTTCAGATGAAATTTTCTAAACATTTGAAGTGAAAATGTATAGTCACTCTGTTCAAATGAAGAATAATACTAATCAAATCAAGATCACAGGTTTATGCCCTTCACCAAAGATAGAATAAAATCAAACTTAAAGCACCATCCTTTTTGCAAAGGACAACATCTATATTGATGGCCTTCCTTTTTTATCAGCTAACATTTGATAAAACAACATATCCAGTTGTACCATTTTGTCTTTTATGGGTGTATCTGTACATTTTTTCTTATTGTCTAGATTTCCCAACCAAATACTTAGTTGTTTTTTTAAGGTTGGGCTATGTCTATGCATTGCCAAACTATTGGATATTTGCATACATCTAGGAATAAAATGACTATATATTTAATTTTTTGTTTGCTGGACAAAACTTCTACCTCATAGATATTAGTAAAAAACTAATAATTCCTTCAAATTTATTTAAAACATATTTTTGAGTACCTATTGTGTATCAGGCACATAGACATTTAGAATATATCAGTGAATCAAAACAGGCAAAGATCCTTGCCTTCATGAAGTTGTCATTCTTTTTAAATTGTGGCATATTATAAACAAGTGAATAAAACAAAAAGAGAAATTGAAATATATTCTAAATCACTTATGGCCAAGCCTGTCTCTGTTTAATTTTTCTAAAATATAAAAGCAAAGGTATGTATTTTCATAGTTGTGTAGTGGTTAAAATCAGAGGCTCTGGGGTCAGATTGCCAGGTTGCCTATGTTTAAATCCCAGCTCTGCTACTAATTAGCATTTAGTACAGTACCTGGAACTTCCATGTCAGCTTTTAGTTTCTTATACTTTACTAGGGGCCAGTGCATGAAATTTGTGCACGGGTAGGGTCCCTAGGCCTGGCCGGCAATCAGGGCTGATCTGTGGGGCGACTGGCGGGGTGATTGAGGGCCCCTGCTGGCACCCGCCTTGGCTAGCCTTGGGCCTGCAGGCTGGGGGCAGCTCCTGCGTTAAGTGTCTGCCCCCTGGGATCAGTGCATGTCATAGTGACCAGTCGTTCTACCGGTTGTTCCGCCCTTCAGTCAATTTGCATATTAGGCTTTTATTATATAGGATGCTTTATCATTTCTTACATCATCTAAAGCCCTCTCATTTTGGTCAATTTCCACTATCTCTATCTTTCTTTTATAATTTTAATATTTTATACCTTCTACTCCTCTTTCCTCTCCTTTGTTATAGTTCTGTGTACTTTCTTACCTTCAATCATTTCTCTTCTCATTTCTCTATTGACCAATTCCCACATTCTCTTCTTGTCTCTCCCCCTTCATCAACATTCTGTTTCTATTTTGTTTTTAAAAAAATATTTTTACATTTTTATGGCATCCTTTTGTTCCACTAATGTTGTGTCATTATCATTACTAGTATTTATTCTATTCATTCATTTAATGATTTTTATTCACTACCTACTATTTGCCAGGTAATGTTCTGGACACTGAAGATACAACAATGAGCAAAAAAGATAAATATTCCTGCCCTTGTGAAATTTACATCACTCTCCTCCTTCTGCCTGCATCTATACTATCACAGCTTTGTATTCCTTTTCAGTTATTTAGGTACTGAAGAGTTGGTTTAACTCTTTCCTTATGTATTTATCAGAGTTGACCTTCCCTGCTGTTATTCATTATTCTTTTTTTCTGCTTTCATGTGATTTCTACCTGGTAGTACTTGTCTTAGGACATCAGTGTCAAATTTTGTTAATAGGGCTGTTAGGTTTGTAATACAGACCTGGAGGATACTTAGATCCCTACTGGATCTTTCGCAGGAGATCAAAGGTGCTTTACTATAGAGAGAATAATTATTTCTTTTTTATTCTCTTTATTCAGGGAATAGCTGTTTTATTTATTTGTTCATTCATCCATCCATCCATTTAGATGACTCGAGTGATATGAGAGAACTATATTTTCAAAAGTGGTTGCCATTCTAAATTGACCATGTTTATCTCCAGGGATTGTATCCTATGATCATATCTTATTCTTCTGAGATCTTTGTATATTTTGACACAATAACCAGGTGGTTGAGTGTCTTCTTTAAAACATATGTTTGTAAGATTTTAGAGGGTGTACTTATGTATCTGAGTAATATTTTTTATTCCAAAATGGCAGAAGGACCTAGATCTCTCTGGGAAAGTTTTCCGATATTAAAAGCTGGGTATTATTTATCTACTTGTTATCATTAGAGAGCACCATTCATAAGGATATGATGATGACTGTAGTGGGCTTTTATTTTTCTACTTATAAAGAGCAGAAACTTATTTCTCACAGTTTTGGAGGCTGGGATACAAGATCAAGGCACCAGCAGATTTAGAATCTAGTACAAAACTGGCTTCCTGGTTCACACACACAGCCTTCTTGTTGTGACCTCATATGGTAGAAGAGATGAGCAAGTTCTTTGGAGCTTCTTTTATAAGGGAACTAATATGAACCATGAAGGCTTCACCCTCATGACCTACTCACCTCCCAAAAGCTCCACCATCTAATACCATCACTTTTAGGGTTAGGATTTCAACATACAAATTTTGGGGTGACACAAACATTCAGACCATAACAGAAGGCATCAATTCTAGTGTCCAATAAACATAGGAAAAAGGGGGACAACTTGCCTCCAGGTTTGGGGCATCAGTAAGAACTGTAGCAGAGTGTGTACATCATTAAATTTTAGATTTCAGTGGGCTTTGATAGGTCTAATTAGTCACCATATCATCCACTACCCTGGCCCTAACACTAATCCCTTTAGTGTTAGTGGCTTTTAAAGGCTTTTAAAGAAAGAAAAAGGGAAGTGGAATGGACCAAGGCAAGTTTAAAATTCCTGATCTGGAGATTTCAGATTTATTCCCATTTAGCTAAATTTCCAGAATATTTTACCAAAATTTATTAAAGAGTTTTATATCATACAAGTTCCAGAACTCATTCTCTTACTTACAAACCCTTAATTATTTTGGCTAAATTTCTTTGTTTTGTTATCAATTGATTATATTGAAAGATAATCTTTTATTTGGTTTGCAAATGTTAATATTGTGATTCCCCTTCTATTCCTATTATTTTCCTCTCTTTTCTTCATCTCCTTCTCTTCTTGAGTAGTTTAGTCCTAAAGCCATTTGGGGGCCAAAACAAGGCAGGCATCCAAATTGGCAGGGGAGATAGGGATTCACTGGGATAATGTAGAGCAAGCTGTCTGAAGTCAACCACAGTGAGGAGAGTGTCCATGTTACACCATATGTGTCAGAATCCAAGGGAATGAGGATGATATCTACACGTAGCCAGGGGAAGGGATGAAGGGTGATTTCAGGAGGTGGGAGGTAGGCTATGGCCTGATATGGGAAGTCAGAACCCAAGTGGAGGTAAGGAAGGTATCCCTATAGAAGGGGCAGCCTGGCAAGAGGTGTCAGAGCCTGAGCAGGATGAGAAGGGCATCCAATAGAGAAGAAGCTACCAGTACATAGAAGAGATGGGTTAGTGATCATCTGAGAAGATAGATAAAATAAACACATGTATTAAAGATAATGGCAGCTAGGTGTTTTATTGTTGGAGATGATAATTATAACATGGAAAGAGAGAAAATAGAATGTTTTAAATTGGAATTAGGAATACCAGTATGAGTTCATGGTTTTAAGTACACAGGAAAGACTGAGGAGCTAAAGACATCTGAAGAAAAATGTAATGTGTAATACTACACTAGATCCTTTTGCTATAAAGTGCATTATTGGTTCAGTTGATGAAACTTGAATAGAATCTGAGGATTAGCTAGGAAACATTGTATCAGTACAAATTTCCTGAGTCTGATGATTAATTTTGGTTATATAGAATAATGTATTTGTTTTTAGGAAATACACACTAAAGTATTCAAGGATGGTAGATAAGCAACTTATTTTCAAATGATTTAGGACAAAAAGTTTTTATGAAGCATTTGAAACTTCTAAAGTTTATGAATGTTTCAAGAATTTTAAAGAATACATTTAATAAAAAATAATGCTGTGTAATAAAATCTCAATTTTAGCTAATTGATTTAAGTTGTATTGGATAACATTTTTTGCAGGAATATTGGCCAGAGGAAATCATCTTTAGAGATCAAGATAAATGGGCATGCATACTGAAGAAAATAAAAGAAGATAGTTCATTTGCTTCAATTTATACACACCTATGGGAAAATGTCCCTCGAAGACATGGTGCAGTCAGGATCATGGAGGCAAGATTACAGGAATGTTCAATTCTTTTGAAAAACCATGCCTCTAAAATTCTTGAGTGGGAAAATATAATTTCTGAGAAAGGTAAACTGTATTTTTATATGAGTAGAGCAATGGTCAGTTGTGTGTGTGTATGTGTATCTATGTCTGTCTGTCTGTCTCTGTGTGCAATCTCATAAATAATGAAATCCTAAGGTATAAAATATCTAAAAAACATAATAATAAACTTATTTTATTTTATACCTCTTTCTTTCCATATGGTCCAGTACAGAATTTTAGTTGAACATGAACATGTGGATTTAAAGAAAGTATTGCTAGGACAAAAACTCAAATAGCTGTGAACTTTGTTAAGCTGGAACAGGGGTAGCCAAATATCAGGGAAACACGATGGATTGTATAAACTGATACTGGTAACAGAGATAAGCGAGCCAGCAAGAGTCAGGTTATAAGAACATAAATACCTAAAACCCAAAGTAAAAGGGGTGAGAGTGGATTTACATGAGCTAGTTTAGCTTGTAGGAAGGTAGTGTTTAGTATTCAGAACTGAATAGCTACAGACTGGGTAAAAAGCATATCTGCTAGGAATGTTAATTTTTACTTCTTTTAAGTATTTGTATAACTTTTTTATTATCTAATTAACACTTTCAGTATCTAAAAGATTTTAGATACTAATGGTGATACTTGTCCTATTTTTTATTTAATGGGCAAACTTGTTCATGGGTAAGCCTTAAAAATGCTGATATTAGTTATACTTAGAAAGTATTTTCAATGTATTAAATAAATTTAATTAGTCATATTATTTAGATATTTAATATTCTTTTATGGACCTCTATTTTTCAAATTTTGAGAATGTGTTTAAATACACTATTATTAAGTTTTATTTTAAATTTATTTAATTTTGTGTTTTTAATATAAAATATTTTGAACCATATATGTGTGTGTAATATATATATATATATATAGAGAGAGAGAGAGAGAGAGAAAGTACACATGTGTACTTTAAAAACTAATTGTATGTATATTAATTATTCTCAATATGTAAATATCAAAGCTTGACTCAAGTCCAGGTTAACTGACTTCAGAGCCCCAAGAGTCTTTCACTGGGCCATGTTTCAAAGTCCTGTTCCTACTGGAATTTAAGGTGACCATGAAACTACAGTGCAAGTGACTGAACTATTTAAACAACATGGGCTTGTTCAGTAAGAAGAGATTGATGTAAGACTTTAGATATAGGAGTAAGTGCAAAAGACATACTAGTTGGAGCATGACATTTCTGTAAAACAAAGGAAACAGAAGAAATAATAGTAATCTACTCATTCAACAGCGTTTGTATATCTAGCATTATGCTTATCAAAATAGCTAATTGATCCCATTGAATAGTTTTATATATATTTTATTTAAAGTACTTACATCTTTTTCATTTTTAAAGGAGATCTATATGTGTATACACATACACACAAGTACACATATATATGTTGTGAATTCTTGTTTCTTTAAAGGTACTCCTGGAAAATTAGAAAAATATGAGGCATTTCTAAAGAATCACCATAAGAAAAAGATGATAATGGTACAGTATTTGTTTTCATTCTTGAAAAATTATATTTCCACAGAAAATATAATCACTAATTGCATAGATAACTTTTTGAAATTTCCTTATAGCTTTTTATCATCTACCTATCTCTGTATTTTTAAAATATCTGGACTCATTTTCTTTACACACATAATATCAAAGTGTTGGCATTTTCATATCACTAGAAGTGATTTTTAAAATGTATATATTTCATCCTCTTATTATTTAATAATTTATGTTTTATACTTAGTGCAGTCCCATATCAGTTCTCTTCCTATAGAAAAAATTAAGAATTCCTTTTACCAAAAATTCAAAGAAGAACTAACACCCATCCTTCTGAAATTATTCCAAAAAACTCAGGTGGAGGGAAGACTCCCAAGATCATTAGGCCAGCATTCTCCTAATTCCAACACCACATAAGGATACTACAAAGAAATAAAATTACAGGCCAATATCCCTGATGAACATAGATGCCAAAACCCTCAACATAATATTAGCAAACCAGATCCAACAATTCATTAAAAAGATCATACACTATGATCAAGTGGGTTTTATTCCAGGGATGCAAGGTAGGTACAATAACAACAAATCAATAAACATGATACACTACATAAACAAAATGAAGGATAAAAATCACATGATCATATCAATAGATGCAGAAAAAGCATTTGATAAAATCTGGCACCTATTTATGATAAAAAACTCTCAACAAAAAATAGAGGGCACATACATCCTAATAAAGGCCATATATGACAGCCCACAGCCAACATTATACAATGAGCAAAAACTAAAAGCTTTTTCTTAAGATTAGGAACAATATAGGGATGTCTATTTTCACCACTCTTACTCAACATAGTACTGAAAGTCCTAGCCACAGCAGTCAGACAAGAAGAAATAAAAGGCATCCAAATTGGAAAGGATGAAGTAAAACTGCCATTATTTGCAGGTGACATGTTACTGTATATAGAGAACCCTAAAGATTTCACGAAGAAACTATGAGGACTGATCAGTGAATTCAGTAAAGTAGCAAGATACAAAATAAATATCCAGAAATCAGTTGCATTTTTACACACCAACAATGAAGTATCAGAAATGGAAACTAAGAAAACAATTTCATTTCCAGTTTCATCCAAAAAATTAAATGCCGTAGAATAAACTTAACCAGAATGTAAAAGGCCTGTAAATTATAAGACATTAAAGAAACAAACTGAAGATACAAATAAGTGGAAGCATATACCATGTTCATGGGTAGGAAGAATTAACCTAATTAAAATACTCATATTACCCTATAGATTCAATACCATTCCTGTCAATATACCAATGGAATATTTCATGTAACTAGAACAAAGAATTTAATAATTTATATGGAACCACAAAAGACCCCGAGTAGCACAGAAATCTTGAGAAAAAACAAAGTTGGAGGAATCACTCTACCTGATACAAAACTATACTACAAGGCCATGATAATCAAAACAGCATGGTACTGGCATAAAAACAGACATATAGATCAGTGGAACAGAATAGAGAGCCCAGAAATAAATCCATGCTTTTATGGCCAATTAATATTCAGCAGTGGAGGCAAGAACATACAGTGGGGTAAAGATAGTTTATTCAATAAATGGTGTTGGGAAAATTAGATACCTGTAGAAAAATGAAACTAGACCCCTTCTTACACCATACACAAGAATAAACTCAGAATGGATTAAAGACTTAAATGTTAGACTTGAAACCATAAAAATTCTAGAAGGAAACATAGGCAGTAAAATCTCGGGCATTTCTCATAGCAATATCTTTTCTGATATGTCTTCTCAGGCAAGGGAAACAAAATTAAAAAGAAACAAATGAGACAACATAAAACTAAAATGTTTTTGCACAGCAAATGAAACCAACAAAAGGAAACGATAATCCATTGAAATGGGAGAACATATTCATTAATACATCTGGTAAGGGATTAATATTCAAGATTTATAAAGAACTTATAAAACTCAACACCAAAAAAAAAAATCAATCCAATTAAAAAATGGGGAAAGGACCTTAATAGATATTTCTCCAAAGAGGATATATAAATAGTCAACAGACATATGAAAAGATGCTCAGCAACACTAATCATCAGAGAATGCAAATTAAAACCACAATGAGATACCACCTCACATCTGTCAGAATGGCTATCATCAATAAATCCACAGACAAGTGTTGGCAAGGATGGAGAGAAAAGGGAACCCTCATGCATTGTTGGTGGGAATGGAGACTGGTGCTGCCACTGTGGAAAACTTAAAAATAACGCAGTGATTCCACTTCTGGTAATATATCCCAAGAAACCCCAAACACTGATTCGAAAGAATATATGCACCTCTAGTATGTTCATTGCAGCATTATTTACAACTAGAGGCCCAGTGTACAAAATTCATGCACAGGAGAGGGGGGAGGTCCCTTAGTTCAGCCCAGACTGCGCCCTCTCACAGTCCAGGACCTCTTGCCCCTTACCACTCACCTGCTCAATGCTCCTTAGCACTGCTGTGGAGGCAGGAGAGGGTCCCACCACCGCTGCTGAGCTCGCCAGCCATGAGTCCAGCTTCTGTGGGAGCACACTGATTAACAGGGGGTTCCTGCATTGAGTGTTTGGCTCTTGGTGGTCAGTGTACATCATAGCGACTGGTTGTTCTGGTCATTCCACCTTAACGGTCGCTTAGGCTTTTATTATATAGACTAGTGGCCCAGTGCATGAAATTCGTGCACGAGGGAGGGTATGTTCCTCAGCCTGGCCTGCACCCTTTCCAATTTGGGACCCCTCGAAGGATGTCCTACTGCCAGTTTACAGGGATCGGGCCTAAACCGGCAGTCGGACATCCCTCTCGCAATCCAGGACTGCTGGCTCCTAACCACTCACCTGCCTGCCTGCCTGCCTGATTGCCTCTAACCACTCTGCCTGCAGGTCTGCTTGCCCCCAAATGCCCCCCCGCCAGCCTGATCACCCCAAACTGCCCCCCCTGCTGGCCTGCTCGCCCCTACTTTCCCTCCCCACTGGCCTGCCAGTCTGCTTGCTCCCAACTGCCCCCCCCGCCCCCCGCTGCCGGCCTGCTTGCCTCCAAATGCCCCCCCGCCAGCCTGATCACCCCAAACTGCCCCCCCTGCTGGCCTGCTCGCCCCTACTTTCCCTCCCCACTGGCCTGCCAGTCTGCTTGCTCCCAACTGCCCCCCCCGCCCCCCGCTGCCGGCCTGCTTGCCTCCAAATGCCCCCCCGCCAGCCTGATCACCCCAAACTGCCCCCCCTGCTGGCCTGCTCGCCCCTACTTTCCCTCCCCACTGGCCTGCCAGTCTGCTTGCTCCCAACTGCCCCCCCCGCCCCCCGCTGCCGGCCTGCTTGCCTCCAAATGCCCCCCCGCCAGCCTGATCACCCCAAACTGCCCCCCCTGCTGGCCTGCTCGCCCCTACTTTCCCTCCCCACTGGCCTGCCAGTCTGCTTGCTCCCAACTGCCCCCCCCGCCCCCCGCTGCCGGCCTGCTTGCCTCCAAATGCCCCCCCGCCAGCCTGATCACCCCAAACTGCCCCCCTGCTGGCCTGCTCACCCCTACTTTCCCTCCCCACTGGCCTGCTCATCCCCAACTGTCCCCCTGCTGGCCTGCTCACTCCAAACTGCCC